GGGCGGGTCTGCTATGATTGGCATTTTGTTTGCTGGCCTGAATGTGCTCGGGAGAAGGGTATTCTGTGGACTCCAAGCACAGAAGAGATTGTGGGATGGTTGCTGTATCCCTGCCCTGACAGACACACCATCAGGAATGACAAGGATCACTGAGTATAAACTCACGGCCTCATTTTCAGAAAAACACAGAAGCAGGCTGAGCCTTCACGCCCCATCAACTTCCCGTAGAAGATCTGCTTGCCCTCAATGTCCCTCTATCCTAGCTCCTTGCCTTGCCGGTGTTCTGAATGTACCCAAGGGGCTATATCGCCTGCCTTGTAATGTCAGCAGGTTGGAGAGATGACCAAGTCATGTTTTTTGGTGTTCAAGGCGGTAAAATGGGCCACATGCGTCTGTGACGGCAAGTAATCACAATGAAACTGACACTCAAGTAGAAAACGGTGTCCGCCCACAGGAGCAGCCAGCACCAACTGCTGCATGTAGGCTAAGCGTGGAGTCTCAGCTCAGGTCAGCCTCTGGCTGCCACCAGCGGGTGATTCAGTAATAACTGGAAGCACGATTGCTTTTTCACTCACTATTTTTTAACGGTTTATTCATAAAGCAATTTTTCACTTTTCACTTATTTTCAGCCCCTTTCACATCTATCTACTCACAGTTTCTGTCTTGGCTTAACCTTTCCCTCTCCTCCCTCTGACTGCTTCATTTGTCTTTATTCCCTTTTTTAAAACCTTGAACCGTTAGAACAGTATCGAGGCCTCTATTGCTTTGCTAACAGAATGTTTCCTTTCAACGTCTTTTTGGATTCTCTTGGTTGCTTTGCCTTCTCTTCTTTAGCTCCTGTATTTTTTTACCTTCTTTCCTTTTTGCAGCAACAAGCTTAAATCTTTCTTACTTTCATGCAAGTAAGGCTTGGCATTAGAAAAAAAAAAAAAAAAAAGATGTGAAAGAAAAAAACAAAAAGCCACTAAACTAAACATCCTAGAATTCATGGTACTTCACTTGAGCAGAGGTTTGATTTAAGCACAAGCCATTATTTCCATTAAAAGAATCTTGATTCCTTTCAGATGAGCTTATTAATTCCTGGGGAAAGTTCATGATTCTCACAAATTAGCAGGACCTTTGCAAGCCGAATCTGTTTTGCCAAAAGAAGCCACAATAGTTTTTTCCATACAAGCCTGTCCCTCATTTCCATTTTCCTCTGACATCTGCTCTCTAAATTACAAATATATGCCTATAGCAACAATCAGACTTCCAAGGGAAACAAACCAAAAGGAAATAAGAGACAATGATGGAATCTTAGCATATTAAGAGATGTAATACTTCTGAAAGAGCACCAAGAAAGCCCAAGAATGACTTTCATTTTATGGATCAGGAAACTGAGGTCCAGGGAAATTCTAGGGCTTTCTTGAGAGCACCCAGGTATTGGGGGCTGAACCAGGACTAGAACTAGGAATCTAAATCCCTGGTTCACTCTTTTCAGCAGACTAGGAGCTCATAATTTCAGTTCCCACCTTGGGGGTATATTTACCCCCTTATCTGGCCTGGGTAGCACAGAAGAAGGACTTAAATCACCCAGTTCATGATCTTCAGATGGTGAGTCTCACTACAGACCACTGTCAGGTTAATTGTTCTAAAACTGAGGAGGCAAGAAAATGTTCCATGGAAAGGGATGAGGCTTCATCCTGCTTCCTTTGCCTGCATGGGTGGGAAATAGTAGTTCAGGGCTGCCTTGCTGTGGAAGAAGGGAGGTTGGAGACAGTCCCTCTCTGCCCGAGACAGGACGCACTGGCAGGCTGCTAGCCTGGATGCTGCTCTGCAGAGTACCGGATGTCGGTCATAGTGGTAACTTGCCTCATTTTCCGCCCCTTCTTAGAATCCCTGGGAGGGACTCAAATGGGGAATACATTTTCAAATATTTTACAAAACATAACAGCACAGTTCATTTCTTGGTATCATGGACTCTTCCTCTGGATGAGACAAGCTTTCCAGATCTGTCTTCTATACAGAGTTTTACATATTGATATGTAATTTTACATCCAGGCTAGCATATCCATTGATATGGATATTTTACATCCAGGCTAGCAGTTTCCTCGGAGGCCTCAGGAACATTAAGGAAACTTAAGTTCTCCACCAGAGCCTTAGCTCTGTCTTGTCCCCAGGCGCACCATCACTTACATGGTTATGGAAATCTTTGAATTATAAGCTTGGGAAGGGCTTGCCAGGCATCTTGCCTATCCTGTGCTTTTAGACAAGCTGGCTCTTCTTCTCTAGGCCATCCCAGGAAGGAGACTACTTCCTCCCTCCCCCTGTGGGTAACACAGGACCCACTGTGTTACCATCCCTAAAGGTGGCTGTTCACCCTTATTATATAAACCAAAGTCCCGCCTGTTAATGGTTTAATTTTGTTTCTTTTGCTCTGCCCCTCACCCAAGGAGGAACACTGGTTGCTATAACCCACATATGAATCCTTCAGGTTACCTAAAGATGGGAAGTCCTGCCACAGTTCCATAAGAACAATTTCCTTTTGTTAACATACTGAAGAATTTCTTACCAAAACCACCCACTGGCATTTACCTGTCACTTACTCTTTCTTTCTTGATGAGGCTAGGAGAAAACTACAAGGTGGTTGTGTTCACATTTATGCTAAACAAAAGCTTCTATCTCAAACTCAGAGAAGGAAATGTGTACATGACTAACTCTGGTTCATAATTTATCAAACCGGGAAGGATTCAAAAAAACCAGGAGAGGATTTGTTATAGTATTATGTGAAACTGAGCATGAGGAGTATTTGTGTAAATCAGCTTAAAAATAACTTTTCGGAATCTTGCTGTGTTTTTGGCCTAAATTACATGATTAAAGCTATATTGAGATTAAAATCACTTCTCACTTATTGAAGGAGCAGCTGTCAGCAGCACTTTAAGCAAACGGACTTGGGAATCCTAAGGACATGAAACTTAGAAATGGATGTAATGGGAGGCTTATTCCTGTGTACTGAAAAATTTCTTGCAGCTGCTGGATACCCAGAAGTGCTCAGAATGGTCTGATTTCTTCTGGTCTGACACTGATAATGAAACAGACATGTTATGGACAAAGAACTCTATGGTCTCATAAAGGAAATAGAAGTGTCTTTTCAGTTGGTTCAGTGATCCCATTCTATGTAACTTCCCTTCTGTTCATTAATGTTTTTAGCTGCCGCCCCTCTGTGGTGCAGCCTTCCTTTGTGGACCAGATTATCCCAGAAACATTAGAAATCCTCTACCATGTGCCTCTAATTACTTTCATTTCTCTGCTCTGGCCTTTTCCCATTATCTTCTTTTAAAGAAAGCTTCGCACACACACACACACACACACACACACAGAGGAATAAGTTCACTTACACAAATTTAAAGGTCCTAAATTGGTTTTCTGTCCCCCAAGGGAAAAAAATTTACAAGTGTCCTTATAAACTCCCATGGAACTCTATATTCTATATATTTTCTCATGGTAGAGAACTGAATGTCATTTCTGAACAGGGCTTTTAAGGAAAGATTTAAAAGGTGGCTTCTTTGGTTTTGCCGAGCTGTACAAATAGCCGCCTGAAGTCTCCCTTCAGGGTAGATGACGGCCGGGGAGACTTGAGCTCCTAGTGAATATTATCTTCTCATGTAATGTTTCATTAAACATTTAAGTCCACAAGTGTGCTCAAGATACATAACTCTCAAGAAAAAAAGGTATGTTTTCCCAAGTAAAGAACAATGATTTATGGCAGTAACTGTTATACCCTGGATCTGATTGGGCTTTGTTTTGAAAACTTATTACCACTATGGTTCTGTAGAATTTAGTAGTGCAACCAGCACCATTTGGCACATTTATGACAATAGGGTTCTGGTTTTCTTAACTCCACAGTTAAATGCTGGCAGCATTTCAAATTCTTGGCACAGATGTTTAAGTGAATATAAAGAAGAAACATTAAAAAAAAAAAAAAAACAACACTGGGCAGTTTTGAGTGTCTAAATATAAGCAACATTATTTTCTTAACATACATGGTACCATGAACTTGGGAATGGATGAAGTGGCAAACATGAAAACCATTTGTGAAGGGCTTTTAGGTTTTTTTTTTTTTTTTGGGGTCTCTCACTCTTTTGTGTGTGTCTCTTCTATTCATGTCTACCAAGTGAAACTCAAATTTTGCTTTTGGTTTGTGACTGGAGAAAGGTTAGTGTCTGGAGTGTCAGTGGACAAGCAAGTAGATCCATTCCCAACACATGACCCTTGGGACCACGTGGCCAGGCTACTGTGATCTCTGGGCTTCATACTAAAAATGCCCAGAGGCCTGTCAAACAGCTTTCTTGAAATGTGTTTTAAATTGCACAAGTGGCAAATCTACTTCCCGAGTTAAAATGTGAAGGGAAAAAAAAATACTATAGCACATAAGGCAGGAAAACTATGCAGAAGTATTCCCTATGATTCCCTGTGGAGTGTTCAGTGTTGACTACTGAAGCAAAAATTATGCCACCAATGGGCAAAATGCTCCTCAGGTTCCCAGGGCTCCCCAGAGCCCCTCACCCATGAACTGGCTGGGTCCACACACATACACCCTGGATCAAGGTTAGGATGGCATTTCTGGACTTAATCCAAGTCTTCCTCACCTTGCTACCACCCCACTGCCCATCAACTAAGTAAAACAAACAAAAAAGTTCAACAAAAGCAAACAATAGCTGGCTCATGCTTGAAATGCTTTTCTTAGAAGACGTTTTTATGGCCCATAATTAAAGACAAAAATCTTACACTGTCGATTTATGAGAGGCAAGTGATCAACCCTGTCAGATCCCTGACAAAGGCAGTCACCAATGGAGGTGGGAAAACTAGGGAGTCATCTCTATGGGGGACGGAGGATGGGGGTGGGGACACGAGCAGGATGGAGGCAAATTGTGTCACGTCCAGAATTCATTCTAAGGACACCCTTACAGGACAGTTAAGGTGTCGCTCCCTCACCCTTCACTCAAGACACTAGACAAGCATTGGTAAAGCATGAACATTTATATTTAATTTACATTTTGACAATTTGCACATAAATAACAATGTAAACCAGTACGTAAACATAAGATAGTTTGTTCTAGCAAAGTAAAAAGCCAATAACTTTGGTCAGTTTTAACTTTGAGTAGAAGAAAGAAAGAAAAAAAACCACTGTTGATTGTGGGCTCAACATTCACATGTAAGGGGCCTCAGAGAGAAAGTCAGATGGTACAGAGAATTACGAAGTCTCAAGCCACTGTGCAGGTCTCAGTAAAAATTTCCACTAATGAGAAAGCAAGAGAGGGCAAAAGGAGAATAAATGAGTGATGGGGAATAGAAAGTATTTGATGTCAATGTCAGAGTGTGATGCTTTGGTTTACCTATAATCAAGGACTGTGTTTGTCAAACACTGTTAAAAAAATATATCATACTCAACTGTCAGTTTCATTATTTAAAGGAATAGATCAGTAAGGCTCTTAGGTTTCCCTGGATTATCCTAAATTCATTGTTCTCTTCTGTAGGCTGACATTAGTTGCCACAGACCAAAATGCTGAATATATAAACCAGATTGATTAGTGATCCATCAGTTATTTAAGAAGGAAGGAGAGGAAGAGAGAGAAAAGTTACAGTGGTTGATGAGATTTCTATTTCTGGGACTTGGGTGTGACCACATCAAAATGTGACCAAAAAAAAAAAGCCATCTTAGATTGTCCTTAATAGTTAAAAAAGTATCTCTCTCTCTCCCTGGTTGTTACGCAGTCCCCACCTTTGCACCAAGATTTTAGGATCTCTTAGAATACCAAGGGGGTGCCCAAGCTCACCAATGTAATTGTGAGGTCATCGAGTGCTAATTAAGCAAAGAGTCAAAAAGGGTTTGATTTTTTTTTTTTTTTTTGCCATTAGGAAAAGAAGGATCTTTACATGTTTTGGCTCACAATTTTAAGTGGTTATAAATATATATACATTGGTATAGTGGTATAAATAGACTTATAAATATACATCATTGTCCGCTACACCTTGAATGCCAACGTGTCATCTTTGGGCTTAGCAGAGGACGAGGCAGAAGGGGACGCATTCCATCTTTCTGGCGCACGCGTGCTCTCTCCTCTTGAGTAGCAAATCATTAGAGATGTTATCACTTCCTGCACTACTGGACACACTCAATGAGGTAATTGTTGTTGAACAACTTTGCAATGCCCTTTCTTCTTCAATTAAATTAACCATAAAATGTAAAAACACAAATACTGAGGAAAGTCTGAGTTGCACAGACGGAACAAATACAACTGATGTGTTGGGGACAGGAATGTTCATTACCCGCTTTGACCCTAAGACAACGAGAATACCCGTTTTCCGGTTTTTGGTTTTTAAAGTGTGGCCTGAGCCTGTCTAACTCGAATCCTTCCTGGTCGAGCACCATGCTTGTGCAATTTTGACATAATAACAAAAAAGACCAACAACAAAAACACCTGGACTCATGCCCCCAGACCTCACCCATACAAAACCACCTGTGCTTTGGAAACATTTTGCAGTGGTTTTAGACATGGCATTTTGTCTTTTCACATTTTCAGATAATACATTGGGATGCTAAAGTCTCATGGCCACTCCAAATGGTCACATGACTTTGGGGGTGGGATGACCCTGTTTTTTGAAGAGGGAGACAGATTGGCAAAGCCTTCTTATCACCTTTCTGGGAAATCTGTGATTGGGGGCAGGAATGCTGAACTCTCTACAGAAACATACAAGACTTTTATTTCTTCTACCTATTACTGGGTAATTCTGCAAACATACCCCCAAATTATGTTCAAATGATACAAGGCTGTTCAAATAATATAATCCTATGAACAAACACATCAACTGCCTAACTTTGGCAATACTCAAACCTCACTTTCAAACCATTATTATAGAGGGAGGTTGACTGAAGTAATGTATCTGTTTACTAAATCTTAGGTACTTAAAACAGATGTGCAGAAATTATCTACAAAGAATGGCCACCAGACAAAAATATAACACTTAACTCAAATTACAAGGAATTCTTCCAGTCATTGTAAACTTTTTTTAATTATTGCTTTTTGAATGATAAACTGTATAATAAATTATGAAGGATTATCATTGAAAAAATAATTATGGCTAGGCAATAGTCTTAGCAATGGGGAGGCTATGCAAACATATTCACACAAATATTCAAAATACAACAGGTTCAAATATATAGATGGGGTGTAAATAAGTATATATAATAGGTATATATATTGTCTTTGCCTCATTTATGCCCTGAGATTTCAGTAACTTTGGGGTTCCTTCTTTAATTCCAGAGAGGTGAGAGAAACCATCTGCCGTCAGGGAGAGCTCTGCAGAACTGGAATTATGTACAAGCGCTTGCGACAGGCACCCTGACTCGCCAAGTCATAAGTTAAGAAACAAAACACCTTTTGTTTTCTGAAAATCTTAAGGATCCATAGGTTCGACTGTTTCTTGCTTGACCTTTACAGGTCCCAGAGGTAGTGGGTTGCTGTGAGGCAACTTCAGGAGGGACGGCTCTGTTGACTCATAGAGGCCACACCCTGAGAGCAGTCCATTCCCCATGTTTCTCTGCAAAGACACTTTCAGGCCACTTTCTTCCTTCTCTTTTCTGACCACGGCCAGAATCTCCTTTTCCACCACAGAGGTCATGTCGATGTTGTCCTCCATGTCTTCCAGCCGGTCGGCATTGTCGCTGATGTCAAACTTCTCGATTTCCTCGTTGATTCTGGTCAGGTCCTCCCCGGGCAGCCCGGCGGCCGGGGCCACGGGACAGTGGCCCTTCAGGTGGATCTTGAGGCTGCAGAGATGGATGTAGCTCTTGTGGCAGTGGGCGCACTTGTGGGGCCGCTCCCGGGTGTGTAGGCGCTTGTGGAGTTTCAGGTGCACAAACTGGGTGAACTTGGCGGGACACACCTTGCACTGGTAAGGTTTCTCTCCCGAGTGGAGTCGCAGGTGGGTCTTGAGATTGCTAGTGCTGCTAAATCGCTTGTGGCAGACCTGCGGTGTGGGGAGGGAGGCAGGGAAGGGAGGATGGAGACCAGAAGGTTAAGAGCTGCCAAGGGGAGGTGCCAGCTGTCCACCCACGCAGGACAACCTGGGAGGGCAGAGAAGACTCCCTGTGGCCCCCCACCGCAGTGTTAGGCAAACAGGGCAATGTGGGGACGCTCCCTCGGGGGGGAGTTTCCCTCCCAGACCCCTGTCCGCCCAGTGGAAGCTGGCTGTGTCATCTCGACTCATCAGCAGCCTAAGGAAGGCAGAATTCCTGTGCTGGTTTAGGACACCAGGAGGGTGACTGCTGAGACAGTGTCCACAAAGGTCGCAAGTTCTACCCAGAAATCACTGCCCACCTGGCATTCATGCGGCTTCTCTCCCGTGTGTACCAGGTAGTGTTTCTGCAGGTGGGCGAGCTGAGTGAAGCCCTTGTTGCACGTCTGGCATTTGAAAGGTCGTTCTCCACTGTGCACTCTGAGGTGGACCTGCAAAGAAGCCGCACACCTCAGCTGGGCTCCCACAGCAGACTGTGAGAGTGCGCGTCCGGGCTCCAGGACTCAGGGCGTTTAGGATGCAAACCTCTCAAGACAAGCATCAAGGTGAAGGCTTAGAACAAATCAAACCCCGATGTGGGTTTCAGAACACCCTGTTGTGTCTGAGCTAAAGAAAAGTCACAGGCGAAGCAGGGACTCCACACGGACCCTCGAGCGCGAACCCCAGATGTTTATTAATCAGAGGAGACTCGGGGGAGGGGGAGTTAACGGGTCCCAAGCGGTGTGGCCGCCCATGCCCTACCTGGGTCTCACACGCAGGAAACCGCCATCTACAGCCTGCGGGAGGTTTAAGGACCCAGGCGCGCTGTGTGCCCCCCCGGGGACAAACCGCGCGCATCGGGGTCGGGGGCCGGGGGTGACCACGCCAGGCCTACCTTCAGATTTGAGAGCTGCCCGAAAGTCTTGGCGCAGACGTTGCACTCATACTTGATCTTGCCGTTCTGCTTCTTCAGCGGGTAGGGGAGCGTCTTGTAGCCAGTCATGCTCCTTTTGTTCTTGATGAGATTCACCGCCTCCTCGCCTCCGGGGGCCGCGGCGGCCGCTGAGGTAGCTTTGGGCTGCACCACGTGCTCGGCCGTGGCGGCGGTGCCGGCCGTCGGGGAGCCGCTGGTGGGGGTGCCGGCCTTGTCCTTCAGGCTGGCGGCCGCCCCGGGGAGGGAGAAGGCGCTGTGCGGCGCGGGCACCAGAACCTCCCGGGGGTGCTCGGGCTGCAGCAGGCGGCGCGCCCCCTCCGAGGGCAGCGAGCTGGGGAGCGAGGCGGGCGCCAGCATCGGGGGAGGCAGGCCGCCCCCGCCCAAGAGGCCGCCGTACAGCGGGCACAGCCTCGGGAAGAGGCCGAGGCTGCCGAGGCCGTTGATGTTGCCCACGGCGGCGCCCAGGCCGTTGCAGCTCAGGCCGTAAGGGGGCAGCAGGAACTTGGGGTAGTGTGCGTTGTAGGAGGGGATGAAGGCGGGCGGCAGGTGGGTGGGCGGCCCGTAGCCGGCCAAGGAGCCCAGCCCCTCGGCGGCGGCCCCGTAGGGGGCGTTCAAGTAGGCGTAGGAGTCGCGGGCCTCCTGGGGGCCGGGGGCCAGCGGCGACGCCGTGTTCCCGGGGCTGCTGTGAGGGCTGCAGCTCTGCAGGCTCCGGTCCGGGCTGCTGCGCGCCGAGGGGCTGGGGGTCGTGGAGGGCGGGATGGGGGAGTGAGTGAAGTAGGGCTGCCGCTCCATCCCGTAGCATCCCAGGGGTGCTTTCAGAAAGTCTTCCGGGAGCGGGGCCCGAATCGGGTACACCACGCGCGGGTAGAAGGGCAGCTCCGGGCTCCCGTTTTTCCTGAAGTCATCCGCGTCCTTCTCTGCAGTGAGGGGTGAAATGCTGGAGCGGTACACGTCCTTCCCTTTGGAAGGGTGGGAGTCCAATTTGAGGATCTCTTTCACGCTATGCTCTCTCTTCGGGACACTCTTTGGGCACAGTTCGTGTTTCTCAGTGCTCGGCTGCTTTGGACGGCTCTGGGTTTGTGCTGAAATAAAGAAAGGGTGATTATTACTCGGAGGGAGACAGAAAATTGAAGTGACACTGCCCAGGCCGCCCTTTCCTTGAGCAAACCTGAGTCCCAGCTGCTCCAAGAGGGCCACCTGGCTTCTCAACGCCCTCATTCTAGAAGGCTCATGCCACTCCAGTTCCTCCTCAGCAAAACCGGGTCACTGGTGGCATCAGTCAAACGAATAACATCGTTCGGATGACTGTTTCCACTAGTAAAAACCTCATGATAGAACAGTCCCGTACAACCGAGAATAGGAGCGTGCCTCCACGAAATACTGGGTGTGGGGTGTCACAGGTTAATAAAAGTCACAGTTTACCTAAAGGAAATCAGCACACCCTGTGAACTAGATGTGAAAGATGAAGACTCATTTCAAGTAATAAGCAGTCATCAATTTTCACCTCCATTCTTGTTTAATACGAATTTGATAAAATCCTGTTCAAACTGCCTCTGTCAAACAGATAAGCAAGGTGATGTGACCCCTTCCTCTGGATTTGCTGACAACATCAGAATTTCACTGAGGCTCTGGGTCTCACCAGACTCCCAGTAATGCTGTCCCCCCAGAATCACAAGGCGTGACATAGTCATCTCTGCCAAACCACAAATGGCACTTTTCGAGCCAGTTCAATTACTTAGAGCACCAAAGAAAACAGGCAGCGAAGATGAAAACACGTATTCCAAAAGATGGCATATTATTTACTCTGTAAATAAGACTGTTTAGGAACAGCAGCAATGCTCTTAAACAGAGCCTGTTTACGACAGGTTCTTCAGGCCATGGTCAGCGTTGCTCCCTCCAAACATGCAGAACGAGAGATGCTTTCTGGAAGACACCAACCAGCCAGAGCTGGGAAAACCGACCACTCCCTGCTCAGCCTTCCCTGGAAACCAAAGGTAAAATACAAGCTGCTTGGTTGGAGCTCTGGTTGTTGGCAGGTAAGCACTCCAGCCTGCACACCTGCCCTCAGTGTAGGGAGAGATGAGGGATCAGCTGTGGGTTTGTATAGATGCCATGAGAGGTAGGAGAGCTCTTGGTCTCAGCCTTAGAAGAGGACAGGCTCGGGGGCCCTTGCTAAATAAGCCTCCGTAAAAGCATCATTTTGTTGTCCCTGCTTGATTTAATGGAGGAAGAACTCTAGGCTGATACCTGATAGGTCTAGAAGTGAACTCTGTGGACTCCAGAGTCTGAACTCTTCAAATCCATTCTCTAGGCTGACAGGCTTGAGGGATTCGATTCCAGTTTGAGAGCCCCCTCAGAATGCTATCTCTGCTGGCTGTTATCAGTTACTCCCGGGTGAGCCTGAAGCCCCAGAATAAACACAGCCCAGACACCATCAGGGAAGATGCTGATGGGGGCAGTGATGGAAAGCTTGTTGAGGGAGAGGGATTTCTGAAGCCACTAAACCAAAATAAATACCCCCTTATCAGGCCAATATCAGTCTTTCAGTGAGGCTCAGCAGGCAGGAAGTTCAAATTGTCACTTTTGTTTTTTAAAGCTGAAATGGTAAAAGAAGAGAGGCAACTGAGTTGGAAAGCTGATAGGCAAGGTATCTCACAGCCACAGGAGGGGATTTTGAGGCAAAAAAAGAATGATTTGGAGGTAACCATATAGGCTCAGGTTAAAAAAAAAAAAAAGATATAACCCTAAAAATAAAGAAAACACAGAAACTTCACCATCACAACTTTCCGCCATTTTTATGTGGCAAATTACATCTAAGTCTCCTAATTTTTTCTAGTAGCTTCAACACTCTCTGGGTTCTAAAATTCAATAAATTAAAGTTACAAGTAGAAAGTTTTAATCTGTCCATAGCACTGCCCTCCTATTTAGTCAGGTGTTATTGCTGAGCACCTCCATAATCCAATTATTGAACTGTCGCAAAGCTAACAATCGAGCCAACAAGAAGAAAAGTTGGAATTCATTATTTTCCATGCAAAATACTGAGCAGAGTGTGCCTAGCATATCGTAGCTCCACGATAAATGTTCAGTATCTCTTACACCTTCATAAAAATACATTTATTTCTTATTAGAAAAAAAAGCAATATCCGGAGAACAATGTCAGCCCCCCTCAGGTGTTCTAATGTGCCAATCATGGAACCTGTGCCTGTGTGTGCTAAGTCACTTAGTCGTGTTTGACTCTGTGCGACCCCATGGAATGCAACCTGCCAGGCTCCTCTGTCCGTGGGATTCTCCTGTCAGGAACACTAGAATGCATTGCTGTGCCCTCCTCCAGGGGATCTTCCTGATCCAGGGATCGAACTCGCGTCTCTTCTATCTCCTAGCATTGGCATATGGGTTCTTTACCACTAGTGCCACCTGGGAAGCCCTCATGGAGTCTATATGAAGGTACATTAAAAAAACCATCCTTCAGTAGCTGAGTAATCAGTGGAGCTGGTGTCATTTCTGACTCTCCCACTCAGCAGCAGCTTGAGTTAACTTGAAAAAGAAAATCAAGATCTGTTTTTGTTCTTAATTCTTTAATGGCTGTAGGCGGACGGAGTCATTTCAAGAGTGAACTGCTTCTGAAGGCTCTGAATGGCTTAATTATGCCGACTCACATTTTCGATCTATAATAAGAACCCCCAAGACTATAAGAAAGAACCTAGAAGTTCTGCAGTAGGCAAAACAAAGTCTGTTTTCAACTGAAACTGAGAAAGCAGATTAACATTTAGAAGTCTATAATTTGGTCAACTGTTTTCTAGATGGGTTAGTTAGATAGACTGAAAAAAAAAAAAACAAAAAAAAAAAAAAACTTGGGAGGGTAGGACTTAAACCTAATAATTCCTACTCCTTTTCTTTGTTGTTGTTTTTTTTTTTTTTTAAATAACTATTTGTGATTTCTGGCTATTTATGATTTTTCTTGACCTCAGTTTTCTTCAAATCTCTTCTCAAAACTCTACCAACTGAACCATCACTGCCATTTTAAAGCCCTCACAGAGATTCTGGCACAGGCCTCTACCGTGCATGAAACATGCAGCCCAACACAACTCATCTGAAGACACAATCTACCTTTTAGGCCTGATGAAATAGTGGAAATTTTCCTGATCAGCATCTCAATCATCAGTTACCACACCTAAGACAACTGGTTGCACAACAGGCAGCAGGAGTCTTGGCTTACTGTGACTGGTTATTGTTAACTTTCATTCTGTACTACGAATACTGGACAGTGAATGGGTACCTGAAAATGTTCAACCACCATTTAGAAAAAACTCTGCATAAACAACAACCGATATTTGAGGGAACAAAGGCGTCATTTCATAGAGAACATGGCAGTTCCTTCAGAGCTCAAAGAATAAGCATTTGAACCTTAAAATTCTGTGCTGGGCCTTCTGTTGGGGAATAAAAATGCAAGGCCTTTAGGATCTTTCTTTGTCTGGAAGAAGGTGAGGGATGTATGTGAAAAAACTTCTCTGTGGTTACTGCAAAGTCACCAAGGTGGGTCATTTAAAATGGAGTTACAGTTCAAAGAAAATAAAAAATCAAAGTCTTTTTTTCTGAATTCATGAATGATGAAGCTCAAGGAATGTGAGGAGACCCTCAAGAGGAAGCTGCAGCTATGTTGAGAAAGTCAGGAAGAAGCAGCTCATTTTCCTGGGAGATGGCCTGCTGGAGAATAAGTTGCCTTTTACCACTGGGTCTGGCACCTACAGATGGTAAAAGAGTGGAAGGGCTCCTGGGATACTTGGTACTAGTGATATAATGGGGACTCTTGGGAGTGCTAAAGAGAGATGAGGGAAAAGACCTACTACCATTGGCCAGGACCTGGTTGTACCTACTATGCTCAAGCTGGAAGCCAATCTGTTTCCAAACATTTCAAGGATTTTTTCCCAAACCTCAAGGGTGCACTATATGTGTGTATATAAGCACCACAAACACAAACTTAAATATATTATGGTAGAGGTCTTTAAGCTTTTATAGCCTCAGCTTTTCAGAAAACTACAAATAGTCTTGAGATCATTGGGAAAGCAGTCAACTTGACAGTGTGGGATGAGTACCAAATAGCTGTAGAGTTGGATTATACCTGACTAGGATAAGTAATTGGTTTGTTAATTGGCTAAAAATTTAAGTCAAATTTTAATTTATGTTAATATTAACATTCACCCCAAAGGTCTCAGAGGCCAAAATGTGAACTAAAACAATTTAGACTCCAGATAAAGCAAATGGGACAGCATATGGATGATTGATGAATCTGGGTAAAGTGTTTCTGGGAATTCTTTGTACTGTTCTTCCAACTTCTCCTTATGTTGGAAATGAGATCAAAACAAAAGGTTACAAAAATTTCAGCATTTAGATGCCAAACTGTGAAACCAAAAGGAGCTGATTTAAAAAAATCTGCTTTAAAAGAAGTCTGAGAATATACAACTATAGTTACAACAGGTTGGAATTTTATGGTAAACCTTACGTCATTCCTAGAGATCACTTGAGAATGACTAAAACGAAGTAGCCCTTTGCAGAGGTCATGACAGCAACTTTAACCAATAGAAAAGTAAAAGCTTATAAACCTAAGGAACTGAAAATTTGTTAAGATGAAGTGATAGGTGGTTACTGTAATACCGATCAGGAGATCAGATAATTAGGTTTTTACCATAAGGAAGGAAGCGAAGATATAAAATCTTCAGGGCTATCTATTTCGAATAAGATTTGAAAAATTATAGCTCCAAGTTTTTCTAAACAATTTATGTTTCACATCAGACCATAACTTGATAACCAAATGTGCATCTACATTTCAAAGCATATTTTAAGCACTGACAAATTACCACAAACAAGGAACTATACCTTTCATCCATGGCATGTCAGAACTAATCTCTATTACAATATAATCCTACCTACCCCTTTTTGGACAGATTAGCATTGGACCTTTATTTCTTCCTGTACATTCAGAGTTGCTCTTAGTATTTTTCAAATGATCAAGTTTCATTATAGGGAATAGAGACTGAAAAAAATTGTTTTTCTCTTCCCAGTGCTGAGTTTAAGTCACCTACTTGGCCCATCAAATGAAGCCATGTAATTAAACAACATGTTATTAGTGCAAAGGAGCAGAACTGACATTACTGGCATTTTTAATTTTTTTTTTCTGTAATCCACTTACTGAGATTCATCATTGTCAGCTCTCCGGGATAAGGGGAGTGAAGCCTTTCCGCAAAGTCCCGGCAGTACCACACAAGAAGCTCCTGGTTGGCAGGGATGGGCTTAATGGTGTAGAAGTAGATGTTCATGCCGTTCTGACAGGCGGCCAGGTTCTGCTCCCAGGGAGAGTATGCTGGGTTCACGTAGCGCAGCCAGTTGCTCTTCTCCACATTAAAGCCGTCAATGAAGTGGTGAAGCTCCCCTCTGGAATAGATCTGCGCAGAAGAGAAGACAGACGTGGAAAAGAAAGCCCCCAATGCAACGGAAAGCTTGCCAGCACCTCTGGGATTAAACACGGCAAGTATGATTTCTGGTCCCTGACTGCCTCGTTAGAAAAGGAAATCAGTTTAGCCAGAGTTGTCTTGAATCAGCAGAAATAAGGGCGGAAACAGGGGAGGCACGCTTTGTCAGTTACCTTTTCCATTTCAGTTTTAGGGTCTTTTCATGTTTGGGGAAAAGCTACAGAAGAAGGAAACACAAGATTTCGTTTAAGGAGCTGCCGCACCTAGTTCTGTCTGCTAGCGCAGTGAATGGCACAGAGGCAACACTACTGGCTTGAGTTCCGATCATTCTGGCTTTTAATGCTTTGAGTCACTAGGTATTAGACCAACCCGACTGAGTACGTCAAACTGAGTCTCAGCTTTTTCTATGGCCTCTGTACTAGTCGTTTCCTACACCCCCGCCCAAGGCTTAAACTCTGCAAACATCCTCCACCCCCAAGCCTCCTAGTCCAGCAGTAACACTCGTTCATCTGAATACTTGGAACTTTGCCTTTTTGTGGAAACGCTGGGTGGGGCCAAGGTGAACTTCACCTGCCATAACAAAGTGAACACTGGGACAGAAGCCAGCATCTGACAGTCTACTGAGAAGTCACTTTTCCTCTTGATTAATGTGTTCGGCCTTGTGCTTTTCTTCCAAGGCTGAGGAAGGGAGAGGGAGCCCTCTTATCTGTGAGGAGGTTGGCTAAGACACCACCCATAGAGCCATAGGGTTTGTGTTTTTGGAAGAAGAGGGAAAAACCATGTTGTTCTTTAAAAGCAACAGAAAATGAGGAATTCAAAGTTCGTCCTAGAGTAATACTACTTCTGGTTAGCAGATATCCTCAGGCCACTCGGTAAAAAGGTAAAGTCTTACTGAAACGACTTTATAAACAGACCCTTTACCTTCCCCAGAAAGTTTCTCTTTCCCTCTTTTTAAGATGGACCCATCTCATCTCTAGACTTAAGAAAGATCCTTACACACATACAAGCAATACCTGGTTTTTTGCAACTTGGAGGCTCCAAGTCATAGGCCATGATTCACAGCAGAAGTTTTGCTCTAACCGGACAGCAGGTCATTGCTTTGGTCTTAGTCACATACTGACTGTGTTAATCTCTAAAGTGTTTCTGTATTTCGCTCAAACGTTTATCAGAGACAAAAAGGAACTCTGTCCCTTTAACACAGGCAGTAAACACCAGAATCACTTTCTTTTAAGAGTAACTTCCTGTAAATTGTGAAGGGGGAAATACATGTGGCTTCATCAAAGCAGCTTGTGAGAGCTTTTGCGGTGTGTTTTGTTAAGAGAAAATGGAACAAGGCTGGGTGAATTCTGCTATCAAGAGGGGTTTTCAAGTTTGTTTACTCTGATGTGCAAACTTCCAGGAACACGGGGTTCCATCGCTCTTGCACTCTTCGCTGGGCGGAAACTGCTTTCTAAAGCTACGGGTATGTTGATTCCAGTCAGCCTTCCACAGACTACAATTTACTGTATCCTCATTTAAAAACAGAAATGTCGATGCCATGAAGTCACACACACACACATACACACACCCACAAGAAAATAAAATAATGATATGTCAGATGAACACTGCTGCCTATCACCCTCACTCTATTTCCATATATTATCAAGAAGATTAAAAACGTGCTGACTCATAGCACAGTTACAAGAAATGTCACTGGTTTCTCAACTTGAACATCCCTTCTCTTCTTTGACTGTGTAATTTGCATGAAACTTTTTCTTTCCTCACAACAGATGTTCATATTCCTGCCAGCAAAATCAGGATGCTTTTAACAACATGTGGGGAGTTATCTCCTACAGTATCCTTTGCATGTGAAGGACCGATTCAAATAAATCCTCTCAGGGAAAGCATTTCAGCTACTTAGAATGAATCTTCAGTAAACTAGGGAACTGAGACAGAGATAGGAGGTTCTTAAATATTTCTTGTCATTTTTTTTGAAAGGACCATGCATTAACCAGACTTATGCTGGATTGTTTTAATTCAGACCTTAGACTCCATGAATTACAAATATCTATGGCTCACTTCTCAGAAGACCTTACTGGCAATAAGGGCAAAAATGCACTCACATTTTACCCATTATTAGTCAGGTATTAAATGTATTTTAAGCATGAGTAATTATTAAATTTGTGAGCACGCAATTCATAGTGGAAAATTCTCAGTGATCTCTTTTGTTTGGAAAATAGTAAAATACATTTCTTAAAACACAAAACTTCCTGGGTTAAAAAAGAAAAAAAGCTTATTTCTTAGGAACAGCTTCTGGGTGATCAACAAATATAGGTCTTTTATAAAAATACTTGCCCAAAAAACATAAGCATTCTAGGTAAATCCGACTAGAATAAGTATAATATGGGCTTCCCTGGTGGCTCAGTGGTCAAGAATCTGCCTACCAATGCAGGAGACACAGATTCAATCCCTGGGTCGGGAAGATCCCCTGTAGAAGGGAATGGCAACCCACTCCAGTATTCTTCCCTGGGAAATCCCATGGACAGAGGAGCCTGGTGGGCTACAGGCCATGGGGTCACAAAAGAATAGGACACAACTTAGCGACTAAACAAGTATAAAACAGTTTTTGTTCCTACCATGCAACTGTTTCTTGAAAGAATTCCAATAAAGGTTTCCCAGTAATCATGTACATTTTATGGAAGTCTATATACATACATATATATAATTGCTTTTAAATTTATTTTCTAATTGAGGAAATTGAATATCCAGAGAGATGGATGGGAAAATGGAAAACAGTCCATTTTTTTCTGTTCATTCTCATCCATGGTCTTTTACCTAAAGATTCCATCTAATTAGTTCACCTGTGAGGTTGCAAATATCACCTGTGATATTCCAAAGGAAACTAGATTGACTAGATGGGATGTTAAAGGAAAGTTTATCATCTTGAATGACTGTAAGCATCTCCCTTACACTATGGAATAACTTATGTACTGTCAAATCCAGTAGTTTCATGGCACAGATACATTTTACAGGATGAGTCTTGTAGTCCATCTATTCCTCCTGTACCATCTTCTATTCATCCTTCCTAAATGGCATTTATTTTCAAGGTAATTCACTTGTGATTACTCGTCCATTCAATTAAAGTTAAGTCAGCAAGAAATCAAGAAGGGGTGAAATCTAAGGCTTGGTGACTCATTACTACTTCCTTGCACAGAAATGCAAATGAACTTACCCTTGAAGCAAGCAGCAAACTGTTTCCTTTCATCACAAAACTCTAATGAATCGCAAAAATTAAGATTCACACAGACCACCTCTTTACCCCAACTACCTTCAAGCTGTGTTTCCCAGGCTGAACTTTTAACCAGTTTCATCACAATTGCTTAGAATTCCCTGTGTCCACGGGGACCCTGAATATTGCGGGGAGCCCCAGGACAGTTGAAAAAGGAAGTGACCCAGCAATTTTAGTTTCATTTTTTTCCCCTAATACTTAATGAGTTGGGAAAAATTTCCCTACTTACCCGCCAAAAATATTTCCTGTTGGCATTTTTGGGAACTGTATCACTGGTGTAGATTTCACCTATTAGAGGTCCAAAACGTGTTCCCTTTGGTATGTATTCTTTACTCACCACTCCAGTAATCTAAAGGGGGTAAAACATATGAAAGAGTGAGTTCAACAGTAAAATATGAATCGATCTTTTCATTTCAATGAATTGAACTGTCAAATGGTAATACCACCAATGATAACAAAATTGTGCTATAGAGAGCAGACATTAACGGTGCCTACATAATTAACAACGAGCTTGACTTTTGGGGAAGACTATCTGTTAAACTCACAGATGATAAGCAAATATTCAGCCAAGTATAATAGTCTAGTTCACTGGTGACTGAGGGTCCAATATTTTTTATTAATACTTTTTATGCTACAAGAACAGAATGGGTAAAACTATTCCATTTTAGAATGAGTTTCGGATACTGCAGAATTAGACAGTCAAGGTTAGACCATTTTAGCCCTCTCCTAGTTTCCTATTTCTTCTTCTCCCTCAAACCATAAACACAGTGTGCTTAAGGGGAATGAAATAGTTTTAACCTCAGAAACCAAAGTAATGTTCTTTGGTTGTTCCACAAAGGCCTAAGGAACCAAAAACAAAACACAATATATTTTTTTCATTCCAGATGAGGTTTTTTTTTTTTTTTTCTTTCTTTATAACTTGTAAGTTCTCTTTAGTAGAAGGAAATTCTTTCAAGTAACTTTGCTCTTCTCTAGCATCTTCTGCTCAACGGTGGTCAAAAGTCTTCCTTTGAAATAGAATTTATATCTAAGAGAGCTGTGGGTTCTAAGATCTGAGGAAATGACTTTCTCAGACTGGATGGATCACACATTTGACTCTGGAAGGCCTTGCTAAAAAGAAACATGTTAACTATACCAGTTCCTTCCCTGATGGTAAATTTCTTTGGGGGGGGGGGTATAAAAAAGTCCACGAATCAGGAAGCAATTCATCATTATTCAAAAGAACTCTGTAACAGTCCCTTACAACATTTTGCAGTACATTTTGTTTTGTTTTTTATTCACTCACTTTCCCATCTTGATTTTCTTTTCACCCAAAACAGCCTACAAATCACTTACTGAGTGCCTTACTGATACGGACGAAGAGGAGGTAAAATGTATTTATTTCCCGTTTTTATTATCCCTCGTGGGTCCTTTATAGTTGTGCACCTGAAATGGTAGGCCTTTATAGAGGAATCAATAAATGTCTGCAGTGGAATCTACGGTTTTGGTTTTGATATATAAATTAAATCTCATCAACAACTGAAATCTTTGTTTAAAAGAATATAGAACACACCTACACGCTTGTGACAGACCAATCTTTCTCATGTACATGACTTAAAAATTAATTTTAAAAATTTAATATTCAATATACAAGCCAATGGAGCATACCCAGACTGGAAAGACAGAAAAAAAGAAAATTTCCTATACCCAACACAAGTTGAAACAAGGTTGGTGAGCTCGAGTGTTATTTTTGGTCCGTTATGAATTTCTGGCAAGAGCTGAAAAAAGCAGATGTTCATTTCATTCTACTCCTCTGCCTCATTTACATCTATCTGCCGTTTCAATAACAGTTCATTGTTATTGGTATATGCTGGCAGTATAGCTCTGAGGAGCACTTTATAACAGTCTTGAATTAAAAATACATCCTAAAGGTTAGGTAGACTTATTCAGAGATTCATTGTTTATTATATATAATTGAAATTAATTTGAAAAATTCATGGAATCGGCTTTTATGACACAAATCATTTGGCATTCATATCTGAGTAGATTATTCCATAATATTAAAATGACAAACAGGAAAAACAAACAATGTCATTCACTGGTGAGCCAATAATTAGCAGTTGATATTTTCAACATATCTATTTTAAAGCAGTAATTTTAAAAAAGGTACTCAACTGGTTTATCAACTTAGTTTTAAATTATAGTCTCTTGCAGACAGTGTCTTGGGAGTCAGAGCTTGATTACCAACAAGTAGTGTGATATCGAGGTTAGGGTTTTTCTCCTGAATTGCCATTCTTTTAGCCAATGGGCCTCGTATTCAGCTATCAATCTTACACTAAGAAAATGCACAACACTTTCTTATGGTCCGAAAGAAGTCAACCAGCAACTTGTTCCTACAAAAGAATTTGCAGAAGACATAGCCACCAAACATCTTTGAGCGCAGCCATAGGCAAGTCACTGGGGAAGATATGAGGCGGCATTAAAGAGCTCCTGCCATCAACAGCCATACAAATGCAACTCACCAGACAAGACAAGAGAATAATTTGTCTGGAAAGGGAGGTCTAGGGAAATCCTCAAGTCCCAAACAAAAGAGCCTCAATACTAGACTATCTTTACAAGTGAGACAGAACACTAATATTTTAAGTTCTGCAATCCATAGAGCTTTGGGTACTTATATAGTCACACATGAATAGAGACACCAAATCATAGAGTTTTGAGGCTGGAAGGAACCGTTTAGCTCATATACTATCTCTATCCATTCTCAGTTCAGCACCCTATCTCACAATCAGCACCTTCATCTCAGATCCTTATCTGAGAAATTATTCAAAGAAGACATAAGAGCTATAACTCTTAAGATTCCAGCTCTAAGACTCCTGAGCTCAGCCAGGTAACAAGTGGGAATCAGAACCAGGGTAGTTTTTAATGGGAAGTAAGTGACCAAGTCATACTTCTCCCTCTGGCCCTGGAAAGATCTGGATGTGAATCTTAGCCAACAACCAACAACAATCTATCCTTGGAGCCAGCACATAATGTAGGGAAACCTGGTGTGTGCCTTGAATTTCCCAGAACTAGAAGGACTAATTAAGAACGTGTTCACCTAAGCTCAGGAAGGAAACTTCACTGGAACTGACCAGGGTCCTAAAGCATCATTTCTGGGCCCGGGCTCCTGTGTGCCTCCCATAAATCTACCAGCGAGAGGATGCTGGCCTTCCCACTTCCCCGCCTGCCTGCTCTTTCCAGCTGTGTGCTCTGTGCTGGGCTGACCCCTACAGATCTATCAACAGCCTCAGTTACACAACATACCCTGAGACAAAAAATAGGGCTTGTTTTCCATTTTACAAAATGAAGATGTCACAACTTAGTATGGGTGGACTAGGAGTGCCGAATGAAAGTTTGAGAGTAAGGAGAATAATTTTTTTTTAAAGTGAATTCCCTCTTTAGGAACATATGAATACATATGCATCTCATTGAGTTTCAAGCAGAAATATTATTCAGGTCTAATGATGGTATAAGTATCCTCACCCCAAATTATATCAAAATCATTTTAATTACTAGCTACCTCTTCCCTTCCCCCTCAAAAAAATGACTCATTAGATTAAAATTCTATTTTGAATACAAGCATATTTGCATTGAGATGGCTAGTGCTCTGAAGTGAACCAAGACTTCAGCCTGCACTTTACTCCACTGTTTTTAAAGGGGGTGGAGTGGATAGAGATGTTTTTGGAAAGTTTCCTTAATAATCTTTATATTAAAGGAAATGCCTGGTTACATGGTCTCCCAATAAAAGGCAGTATGAAGAGAGAATTGCATATTATGGTGAGATACTTTTTACAGATAAACGAGTTAATAATGGACTTCAATCAAAATGGACACTGAGTCCCCATCATTGGCCTGATGTTTAATTGCCACATGACTCTGGAGTTCAGGCTCAGAGCACCAGAGCCTCTGAATTCAATGCAAGCAACCTCAGTTTAGGCTACGGCTTCTAGAACAGAAGTGTTTAAATCGATCTTTCTGTGTTCAAGTATTCACAGTAGATTATTTCAGGAGATCAAGGGGAAAATCCCCCTAAAAGAATAACCCAGCAGTTTAAAAAGTTTTAAAAGTTTTTTGAATAGAATGTCTATATTTGGTTTGGGTTCTGGAAATAGGAAGTAAGAACAGCCTCATTAAAGGTGCAAAATGATTCTAAACTAAATCTAAAAATGAGGGTCAAGATCAGAAATATGGTTTGTATGTTTTGTTTTTAAACCCAAAAAAAAAAAAAAAAAAGGTGCTGACACATAGCACAAATTCATAATGAAAAATGGTCTTGTTAAAAAAAAAAATCCCCAGGATGTCAGCACATCAGTACATAATGTAACATCTTCTGCTACTTAAATGAAAACATTTAAAGAAAGGCAAGATACATCAGTCAGATAAAAACTACGTGTACAAAGGCTTTTTTCCTCTTTCCACGGCTTGTGGGACTGAAAGAACTAACTGAATAATGATAATGTAAACATTTCATCCATTCTGAATGTTTCTGTCCTAGAACTGGTTTGCAGCTATCATACTCTCAATAGCTCAATTTCACAGTTCTCTTTCACCATCTTGAGGGAGCTGTCCTTTTCCAAAGTGCAAAAAGGAAGGAAGGAGAAACAGAAAAGCAGGTACACATTACAGAGGGAGCTTAAGCCAGTACTACATTTAAGCTGGTCTCCTGGTTACTTTTATGACGAAGGACTAAAGACACACTGTTCTCTTCAAGCATTTCAGTAAAATCAAATAGGAGAAAACAGAGTAAGAGAACCCTAACCTCTTACTAGGTTTGTTCCGAAGGACCCTCCTTAGGAATACAGGCACTGCATGCTTTTTCAGTGCTGAACATATGAAATAGGAAGTTACACATGCAATGAAAACACAGCAAACAAGCTTAATAAAGGATTGGCCTGAAGTATGTTAAGACGATAAATAAAACCACAGTGACACCAAGAGGGGCCAGTGTAGCACAATGTAGAAGCATTAGTTGGAAAGTCTGAAGAACTTTGCTCCAAGTCTGGCTCTGGCTCCAAGTATACACCTTAAGTACGTGCCTAGTCTTTTGAACTTTGGACTAATGATCTAAGGGCATTTTTCCTATTTAGCTATTATTTTACATAGAATGATGAAAACTGAAAGACAAGCTTAGAGCTGAAATGAGGACAATACTACAAAACTAAAAGGCAAGGATGAACCAGAGTGGAGGTCTTGATTTTAATCCCAAGCGGCTGGACAGGGCAATACAACACACATTAAAATCTGGGAACTGACCAGTATTTGGTCAAATTTGATCTGGGAAAAAATGCTACACTTTTTAAAGCCAAAGACAGACCTTACAGACCCAAACAAATCCTATACTGATTCCATGGGCCACAGACTAAGAAACTTTCTATAGAAAAGGGTGTTACTTTCACAAAAAAGATGTAATTAAGGCCGACTTCTGGGGTCAAGTTTTTGGTAATGTTCACATACAAATAGAATTTAAATTTTGCTTTTTATGAAATCAGCCTCCTCTCTCCCACTAGGAAAAACGGGGTGGGGGGAAAGTTGAGTTTTAATGAAACCCAAAGCAGAGCTGCTCTATTTAATTTTACACAGCTGTGTCACCCCCTCACTACCAATACTGAACTCAGACACACAAACAGGAAAGAAACAAAGTATTTCCCAAATCAGCTCTCAACGCCTTCAAATACTGTTCCTTAGGGAAGGAGGAAAGTGATTTGACATGGCTGTAATGAATAGTCTCAGGATGGAATTCTGGACTCCCACAGCAAAAGACCCCGTTTCTCACGACTTTCTGAAGGCAGTGATAGGATGGACAGCGAGCCACGGGGATGGTGGTGGTAAGTCTGTGGTGGGGTCGCTTCCTTCAGCTCAGCCCTGAATCGACCCACGAGAGCAGCTGCAGTAGCTGAATTCTCAAGAGGTGGTTCTGCAAGTTTTTTCATAGCTGAACATCACGCCTTGCTATAATCATTATATAAAAGGGTAAACACAAACCCTTTGCTCATTCCAAGTTTGGGTTTTCAACCCCTTTGAAACAACAAAGAGTGTACCCACTTCAGAGGCCAAGAAGGAATGGACCTGCCAGCCCCGCCAGAGCAAAGAAGCTGCCGCAGATAAACAGTGGCTGGCTCTGAAGTCACCCGGACAGAGGACACTTACACGGACCTCGTCTCACTTTACACCATCATTCAGTTCATAAACACGTCAAGGTTTTGAGAATAATTTTAGAAACCCAGCTAATAAAGCTGGCTCGTTAAAAAGAGACTAAAGCCATGTCATGACCAAAAGGAGACAAAAGAAACACGAAAAACATTTTTTTCAAAGAAAAAGTTTTCTCCCTCCAAAGCAATTGTACTGGGTGATGAGAGCCAGTGAGTCCAGAGCGGTCAGGAAACTTTCTCGAAGCTACTGACAATTTCACCCACCCCACACTGCAATTCGGCTTTTCTAAGACATGTCAACTTGCCA